ACTATTACGGCAAACATTTCATGTGTTGTGGCGCCCGGGTTCCCCCTCTTCCTAGCCCAGCAGAAGGAGGCAGATCAGGCACGTGAGGCACTAATCCACTGACCGTCAAACCCCTGCCACGTTTTACCTGGTGGTCCGCTGTCTCTTCCTTCCTCCGCCTTGCCCCTGGCTCTCCAGAGAGGAGGAGACCGATTTGTTCTCCACCCGTGGTGTTTACCGCCTGGCCTCTGTACAGAGGGCTTTCTGTCGCAAGGGTGTGAACTTAACATTTTCAACAGCGAATGCTGAGGGGTGCCTGGGTGGCTCAGTCGGTCAAGAGTCCGACCCTGTTTCGGCTCAGGGTTTGTGAGTTCAAGCCCCAGGTCGGGCTCTGTGCTGGCAACATGGGGCCTGCTTGGGATTCTCTCTCTGTCCCTCTCTCTCTCTCTCTGCCCCTCCCACTCCGCCCCTCCCCTGCTCTCTCCTCTCTGGCTCTCTCTCTCCCAAAAATAAATAAATAAAAACTTACAAAAACTTTTCAACACTGAACGCCGAAATCACAAAATCGTAAAGCAAAGCTCTACAGTTAGTGTTCACAGAGAAATTTCTGGATGACAGCTTCAAAGCAACCAGTAGATCCCCCTGCGTGGTATGCGTTTGAAGTATGGGCAGGTTGGCTTTCAAAGCGACCAGTTCAAGGTCTTCATCTTTCCAGATGGAAAGGTTTTGAACGGCTTTCCCGGGGGAGTATTGCTACTTACTCTGTCTCCCCTTTGCCCTGGAACAGATGGTTTTGAATCACGTGGGCATTATAAGAGCATAGGTTCCTAAAGTTTGCTCATCCAGTGTGAGCAAGTGTGTTATTTTCCTTTGTGAAGAAGATACCAGCTGTGCAGAATCTAGGCTTCTTTTTCATATGTATTTTCTAAATACAATTATGGCATTGAAAGTTGCACTAATTTAACAAAAGCAAAAACCAAATTGAAATGGGAGGAATTATTGAATTCAAATTTCTTTTTTTTTTTTAATGTTTATTTATTCTTGAGAGAGACAGAGTGAGTATGCTATGCATGAGCAGGGGAGGGGCAAAGAGAGAGAGAGACAGAGAGACAGAGGATCCAAAGCAGGGTCTGTGCCAACAGCAGGGAGCCCGATGTGGGGACTGAACTCACAAACCATGAGATCATGACCTGAGTTGAAGTCGAACACTTAACCAACTGAGCCACGCAGGCACCCCAAAATTCAAATTTCTTGATCACAAGAGGTTTTTAAAAATATCTCATCAGGGGGCACCTGGGTGGCTCAGTTGGTTAAGCATCTGACTCTTGATGTCGGCTCACGTCACGATCTCATGGTTCGTGAGTTCAAGCCCTGCATCAGGTTTTGCGCTGACGGTGTGGA